CTGAGTGGTAGTGCTCTTGGGCCTCATCTTGGGGCTTGCCAAATCTGTATCCATACCCATGGCATGATCTCATACGGCACGGACCTGCTCTGAAGTTCGTTTTTTTTCATCCCCACCACTTGTGATAGCAACAGTCTATGAGAAAATGAGGGGCTCATTGTATGTTTGTTGAGCGACCTTCGCACCGTACGTAGCCAACCGCGCTCATCGGAGGTTGCTGCGAATGATTTGACAATGGCTTCATGACCACCACCACCAGGCCACTGCCACGAGCACCACCAGCACAAAATATCCCCCATGTAGCCTCCGCATACTGTTGGGGCAAGTGCTGTTCGCGACTAGCACCTATGAAGGCCGGCATGGCACACTCGGAGTGGGTAACCACCACCATGCCCACCCGCATTTGTCTCCCCCGAGATATTTACACGCTGCATTATATAATCAAATTACATAGCTCCAGTGGCTTCCGAATATCGGAAGAGCGTTCCAGATGGCCACATAAGGGCATCTGAAAGCAATGGTTAGCCAAAAGCTGCTCCTGCGAAGACTGGAGTTCGCATGATGGTTTATGCTACTTGACGAGATCATCAAGGTATTGTGGTTCAATTGTGGCTAGCACTTTGTATGTAATGAGTGCACTTCTGCCAGGCTAGGTGCAACGTTGAGGGGCTACACGTGACTTGTGCTCTCCACCTTAAGAAAATACCTGAAGGACTTTGGTGACAAATTAAAAAGGTCAGATTAATCGGATCCAAAAATGTACTGGGACATCCTGATGTGGAGATGCTGTGACGTTCTGTACTGTAGCACTCACACTGGTGCCATGCCATGGCTGAGTACTAATTCCCAGTTTGAATCTCCAGCTCGAACACAACAAGTGAGAATGTCCATTTGAAATCGGCAATGAGAATCGCAACTAACACACCAAAATTAATCATGTGACCTTGGATGCCTGTCCTCTCCCATATGACAAACCTGGACAAAGAACTCCTCACCCAAACGAGCCTGACGTACACCAAGGTACCGTACCTGAAATTAAGAGCCACTGCAACACTGCCGATCAGAATCGAAGACTGGCAGAGGAACGACCGAGATAATTCAAACATCATCCCCAATCAGCGCCTCGTCGTGTGTCCCCCCACCATTCAGACACGAGGAAGCTCACTGCAAGTGGGTAACCTGACAGAATCAGAATATTTAGACTGGAGGAAAAATCCGATAAGTTATGAAGCTCTTTTTCACACATATCCAGTAGTGGCACGGGGTCAGAGAGTTACAACAACAAACATCAGCGAAAAAAAGTGATAGGAGTGTAAAGTATTAGAAAAGTAAGCAATTCACTTACAAATAAATAAACGAAATCTTCGCTATTTTTATCTTGCCAGGTAAAGCCCACTGAGCTAGTAGTTATTTTGCAGACGCTACCTGACCCAAATAATTGCTCGCGGAAATGGCCACGGCAGGTGCAATGACCTTTTCCACAAATGGAAAATAAGCGATTCTGATGCCCCGCAACAAACAGTGGAAAACATTGTGTGTGGTGTGTCTCTGCGTGAGTTTGTTGTTCTTTGTGATTCAATGGATCTCTGGTGGGTCTCTGTGAGGCTATGGGTCTCTGTGTGAGTCTAATTATTTCTGAGTCTATTGGTCTTTTGTGAGCATATGGGTCTTTGTTGTGAGTCTATGCGTGAGTTTGTGAGTATCTTTTGTGAACGAATGTCCACTGTGGGCATTCTCCGATTGCATGAGTGGTATTCGTGCTTACAGTACTCTGTCGACAACAGCTGGACTTCCAATTTAGACATCGATTCATAGTTGTTGCTGAAATCGCATCTCACAGCGGTGGCGAGACATTAACTATCTTGCCTGGTAAGCAGGAGGTTGTGCGTTCGATCCCGACCCTGATGTCTGTATATTTGCGGTTTGCATGTTCACCTCGTGGTCGCGTGGATTTTTTTCCGGATCCTCCGTCATTTCCATCTACATTTAAAAACATGCGTTTAGATCCGTAGTTCTTAACCTGGGGTGCACGAGATGCCCTTTCTGAGGTTGTGAGACATGCCAGATTGTTTAAGAAGGTAAATAATCGAAAACAAAAATTCAGCACGGGCACATAAGTACAACTGCTTTGTTTCATCAAGCCCATGTATTTATTAACATTATACATGTTTTATCGATTGAGAACGAAAGGGTTAAGGCTGCAGTAAAGGTTAAGAACCACTGGCTTCGATTACTAGGCTGATGTAACTATCCACATGACCCATTAAGTTGAGCTTTCTCATTCATGGCCACGTCACTTCTGAAAAACAGCTATATAGCTCAGTGGACCGTACCTGGTTTAAATCAAAAGATGAAAGAATAGTGAAGAGTATATGGCCCCATTCAACAGCGGCTATAAATTATTCTTATTAAATGACAACTTTTTTTACAAATACAAGCACAGCTATTTTGTTAACCCGCTGCTGTAATAGAGCCTCGCCACTCCATGCGGGCCATGGGGGATATTTTGCCATACTTCACCACGTTAGTTATGGTGATGGACTTAACCGGAGGCTCTTTTAGTTCGCTTGTCAACCCTTAACGCCGTAGCGTACTGCGGAGTTGGTGAAGTGTGTGTGGGGAAATTGCTGCTGGCTCGGCACGGGAGCTTGTGGGTTCTTATCGTGACTCCCGGCACAGCTGCACATGAAACCACTAACTCAAATATGTATATATGTACACAAATAATTTATTAATTAATTGCGCTTACAGCATTAGTTTCTTATTTATAGTGGCGCATGCACAATGGTCTCCCACAGCCTCATCACCGCCAGCTTAGTCCATGAGTCCAATTCAGATATTTCACTTGGCGGTTCCACTTGAGGTGTCATCTCTTTCGTAGCTTCCATATCTTTTCGTGGTCAACAACGTAGTGGGATTATCAAGTTATTCACTCGTTGTCAATAACGATGAAGTTGTGATTACCGTTTTACCTTAGAGGGATTATCAAGTAATTCACTCCTATCGGCTACTCAGGCAGTAAGTTGATGGTATTGCGTTGACAGTTGACAATCACAACTTACAAAAAAACAACACATTCGTCAATAACATTGCCTTAAAATTAAATATGGATGAGAGTTGATTTATATGGAAATGGACTTTCTTCATAGTATTGTGCATAACTATATGTGACCAGAGAGATGGAGTTGATAATTAGAGTTGGAAACTGCACTTTGCACCATGGGGACCGATGGTTATCGCATTTCAAACTTATTTTGTAATCACCCGTGTTTAAACAGGAGCACGAATAGTTACCTAATAGTAGCCGTCACTGAGTCCGACAAAAACCTTCAATAATCAAAATGTGTTTCTCATTTATATTCAATAAAATATAATAAAATGTTACTAACACATTGCATTGTGGGAAGATTTGTTGCTGTGAGCAGGGGTCGCTGTAGATCCCCAGGGTGTAATTACGAACTTCTGAAGACCGTCATTTTGCTTGCACTGCTCCTATCCCATGGATTTCAGCATCCTCATGAACTCAGGAACTGAGTGACCATCCACAGTTTCAAAATATAACTCAAAATCGTTCCTGCTCAGCCTGGCATCTACAGATGAAGATTAAGAACATAGTGTCACAACTGTGTATGGTATGAGATTAGTATTATCGCTTTAATTGCGCGGTTTGAAAGTTATATTAGAGAAGAATATTTTCAGTACACAGGCTTTATAGTTTAGGAGCCTTTAAATAAATGCAGGCAGACCTGGCTTAGCGCGATCCCATGTTTCATCATGCGGGGGTCCTCGGCTTACGAATGGGTTACGTTGCTTCGACCATCCGTAAGTCGATTTGCTCGTATCTCGGAACTCAATATTCAATTGTAAATACGGGAAGTGTATTGGATGTGTTCTGGTTCAACAAAAAAGGGAAGCCGAATTAAACTCGTAAGAACAAATGTGTATTAAAAATCTGTATCGTAAATAAATTTAAATTATGTAACGTGAAAAGAGAAATATCTGTTGCATTTTCACTTACCATGAGTCCTGATGCTGGCTTGCTTGTCGGAAGGGGCGTTTCACGCGGGATTACATCTCGCAGAAGATCTCTCCGTCGAAGAAAAAAAAGTTCCACGGTTCGGTTCGTAAGTGCGACCGGACATTTGCAAGTGCAGATGTTCAGAAGTCGGATGTTCGTATCTCGAGGACAGCCTAAAGTGCTCTGTCCTGGATACATTCATCGCCCATTCTCTTCCCTCCCCGACATTTACCAACTCCCGATGCACCCCGCTATCGTGACCACCTCCGCTTCCATATCCGCTACGTGTAAGGCTACACGAGGAATATTTTGAGTTGTCCATTTCGCTGGCTAGGAGATGTTAACTACCTCGCCTGGTATGCAGGAGTTCATTGATCCGTTCCCGACTCTGACGCCTGTATATCTGGAGTTTGCACATTCTCCCAATGGTCGCGTGGATTTTTCTCCGTGGCTTCCGGCGTTTCCCTCCACATGTATAAACATGTGTTTAGAGTATTTGGCAGCTATATGATAAGCCACTTCGTTGAGTATTATTTGTGGCCAGGTCGCTTTTGAAAAAAGAGCTATATATCTCAGTGCGCCTTACCTGGTAAAATAAATACAAAAATGTGTTTATATGTTGGGGTGGAGCGGTGGCACAGTGGTTAGCACACTGCACAACAAATTCAGTTACGTACTGTGTGTATTGTTACCACAGCAATTCACAGCGTGTTCGAAAACTAACTCTCCTCTACGTGGACTCAACCCTAAAATTGCGCACATTTTGGTAACATTTCTGCAATGTACAACGCTTGTGTCTTTCCGGTATATTAGTTGTAGGTGGCGTAGCCATTACCACACACGCCCGACCACCTTTGTCTCACTCCCATTGCTTTAGAACGGTGCTAACAACCCACGCCATCGTCAGCGCACCACGTGATAAGGATTTCAGGCCGAGCTGATCTATGCGAGCTGCCGAACAGATGTTGCAATTCCGCAATTTCCTGAGCGGAATGCAGCGAGCATTAAGTCTGAGTTCCCCTTCGTGGTTACGGAGTGGAGCTGAGACTCGCAGAGGAGCTCACAGACGGGAGCGTCGCTCCGCATAATAGGAGCTCGCAAACTCCAGACAGACCCCTCCCTGCGCCACAAAATTGGGAATTATCAGTTACACTGGAACGGCGCATTTATGGGACGCCAATTTGTTTAACGAACCGAAAAGTATCACTGCTGTTGGTGGTGGTGGCTTATATTTCAGTAGCAATCGATCCGCATTGGAGTTCCACGGCTCGCCTCCACGAGTGGAGAATTGCTACCGATTAAGATTACAAGCCAGAGGAAGCGTCGTCACGTTTTAATCGGTGACGGAACAGCTGCGATGGCCGTGGATTTAACGACCTCTGTGCCAGCAACCATCATCATCATCATCGCCGTGGTGATTTCAGGTAAAAACCTATCTATATCACGCTTTGCCTCGCTTTGTGTTGTTATAGGTGGCGATTACACAGAGGTCTGTGTGTGTGTCCGAGTGTTGAAATGTCTGCACCGGTTTAAAACATTCAGGCTGGCCTTCCTACGATAAATTATGGGTTTAATCAGACTGAATTATGTGTGCATCTAAATCCTTTAAAGATCTGGACAAAGTCCCATCAGTGAGCTCCTCCGGCAGGAAAGGCTGCATTGGCTGGGTCATGTAGCCCGCATTCCCAGCCACTGCATGCCCAAGAAGCTTCTGTTTAGCCGGGTAGAAGGGGCTAAACGGGCGTGGCACGGTTTGGAGAAGGATGTGGACCTAATTTGACTGGCTGATGACTGGTACCAGCAGTGTCAAGATCGGCCTCTGTGGAAGAGGTTCGTAAAATAAACTGCTGGGAAACTGGAAGCAGTCGCCCTCCAGCAACAATGGAGGGCACAGGAGCGACGCTCACAACAATGAGTGGAGCGCCGGGCGACTAAAACACAGCAAGTTGGCACAGTAGGGCGCACAGGTGGTGTATCTAACAATGCATCTCAGTCAGCCAACCCATGGCACCTGCTGGGTCTGTTCTGTGACCTTCCGAACCTTCGACACTTCCCGTTGCCTCAAAATGCACCTGGACTGGCACAGGAGCCGTGGTGACGCCACCGCCACTTAATAGAAAATGCTGGGTATTGTTATTATTAGGTCGACTCGCCGTCAAATGAGTACCTGGTGTGGTGTGCAGTAAACATCGCCACTGGAGAGACAAAGGCGACCACGCATGGTTTTGACCACCCACTCCCTCGTGTGCCGTGCCGGCCGTCATAGTTGCTCGTGGACAGCGCTTGCCCCAACAGTCTGTTGTTGGGTACACGGGGATCTTTGTATTGTCTTTGTGTTTGTGTGCCGCTGTCTAGCATGTGTTTTTTTAGATTCACTGCCGTTTGACTAATGCCCTTTACTTAACCTCCTGAGTTAATTGAGATTATCTTGTAACTGGCGGCCTTTATTTAACCAAGTGAGAGCCCGTTGCGATTCACTATCTTGTTATGGACGTCCTTTGTACAACCTCGTGTGAGTCCATCGAAATTATCCGACTGTGCTGACTGACGTCCTTCATTTCACCAAGTGAGAGCCAATAGAGATGCAATATCTCAAATGATGTCCTTTATTTAACCCAATCTCATCTGCAATACATGCCTACCACTTTCTCTTCTGGATTTCTGCATCGCCTCCTGTCTTTCCACAAGGTTCCAGGCATCCATCTAAGACACCTGCACTCAAATGGTAGCAACTCCTCTTCGAGCATCTGAGTTCGGGGCTGGCTTTGTGCAGGGCCGGGTTAAGGTTCTTGTCGACCCTAGGCACTTCTTTTTCTTAGGCCTTCAGTGATAATTTTCTACAGTTGGTACTGCTGCCCAATGTCACTACTACCGCCGCTGTCACTCCCTTTATTGTGCGAAAAACACCATTTGAAGATGTTGTTGCCAATTTTGCAAAAAAAATCTCAAAGTTAATCTTTGGTATTATTCTATTTCACCTTATGAAAAAAAATTGGCACTGACATAACTCTCCTCTTTATATATACATGGTGCCTATCATTGATTTTTTTTAAATGTATTTATTCAAGAAGCTATCTTGGTTACAGTTTTTTATCATACAAACAAAAACATGGTACATTTTTGTTGTTGGTCATTTAGGTTTGTGTATGCCCTAGGCAGAGTGCCCACTGCTTACTGTGCGTGTTGGATAATACGGCCTTGGCTCTGTGTTGCACACCGTAACACAGAGAGCACTGCTGCCTCACATACCAGCACTTCATGGTGTCCCTCCCCCCCACTTGCTGAGTGCTACAATTCTGCTGGCGGAAACAGTGTGGCCAACACTGCGCGGGACAGAAGCACGCAGAAGATGGGTTCATCAAAATGGGTTTGGATTAATTTAATCAAATAATGTTTCCGTTCATAATAAAGGTTTTTGGGTTAGATCGCGTTTATTTATACATGTGTCGTAACCCTCCACCACCCGACACGGCCAATCAGCAAAAAAAAGTGTCACGTTGACAAAAGACAAATAATTCACTACTTTAGCCCCACCGGTGTGTTGAAGAGTGAATCCACAACATTTACAGTTTGAGTTGTCCGACGTTTCGCTGGTAAATACATCCAGCATCATCGGGCAATTCGCCAGAATGGTAAAGCCCTCGCTTGCTCCCGGTTTTATATAGAGCAGCAGCAGGGTGACGTCATCATTTAACTCATATCAGGTGCAGTGATTAGAGGCGGAGGGGGGGTGTTGTAATTATATAATCGATTAGTAATCAGTCAATGGTTATGATTAGTAATGAGTTGTAGATTAGTAATTAGTTGTAATGTGTGTTAGTGATTATATGCTATGTTAGTAATCCGTTAATTAGTATGTGTTTCCCCTATAAGGAATTGTAATGTGCATTCATATTCTTAGCTCCCTCGGCAAAGCCACGCCGAAGGGAAACAACAAAACAACAAACATAGATATTCTATTATCGTATTGCTTCCTCCCAACGCGACTCCACCAAAACAGCCAAGAACATGAATTACTGCAGTCACGAAAGCTTTAAATCAAAATGTAATGTGTATTATTTAATAATAAGCTTCCAGGCCGCACTAAGCCTGTAGCTGTCAGAGCGATTAAAGTTATTATTATTCCTCTCAATTTCAAGCCTACGTGTTAAAATGTTTCTGTTGCTGTGATGCCACAAAAAAAGGGTGGCAGGATGCTGGCTGATGATGGCTGATAATGCCCCATGTTTCATCGCTCGCCTTCTCCTCTGCTGCTGCAGGAGTCATTGCTGCTGATGATGGGAAGACGAAGGCCGTGTGTGAAAAGGAGCTCTCTCATTGCTCCAAGGGGTATAACGTGTGCGGAGTTGAGGGGGAAGATCTGTTGGTCAGATGTCAACTGCCTGCAAACACGGGCCTCCCAGATTTGATACTCGTGCAACTAATGCAGTTACCTCCAGCAGCTGCAAAAACCATAGTGGGTCTCTCTTCACCTGTTGCTCTGTGTTCCTGTTTATGAGTAGCGTGAGTACTGCATGTGCATAGCAACTAGGTTTGCTGTGGTATCATTTTTCATAACACTATGAGTTAGTTATACCATTCTACGATAGCAGTTTTCCCGACTTTGCAATAGCCTGATCTCATACGTTTACATGGTTCTAGTTGTATCCCGTGCAAACAATACAAATGAGCACTGGGGAGATATGCTGTTGATTAACCTTTTCAGTAAAAACATCTTGATTATAATGATCAGCTTTGATTGTGAGGAGATTACATATCCTTCAAAAAGATCTGGACACAGTCCCATCATCAGTGAGCTCCTCCAACAGGCTTGGCTGCGTTTGCTGAGCCTGCATGTTCAGCCACTGCATTGCCAATCAGTTGTATTTGTTGTTTTCCCACCACAGTGGCGAGAGGGAGGTGGTGGAGAGCACTCAGCAGTCACGCTGGATCTGTCTCCATGCCGACTTCTTGACTCATTTTAGCCACGACCCCACCTGCACTGTGACCACGCCCACCCCCCACCTGACGATGTGTCCCCACCAATGGTAGAGATTGGCGGTTATCAGAGATAACAGACCGGGAACCACTGGGGGTGCCAAGGGTGAATTGTGCCCCTGTTTTTTAAAAGCCTAAAAATTGATGGTGTCTCTCTCGTCTCTCCCCAACCCTTCCAGGTTGGCTTCTACTACAGCCCTGATTCAAGTGCTAAATCAACCAACTTGGCCTTTGAGTTCACCGGTCTTGAAATGAACTTTGCGGTGTTTGTCGCCCGGAATGCAAACGCAACACAGGGTGGAGACTACAGCTGTGTAGTGATTAGCACCAGAAACAATAGCAATAAAGAAACACATTTTCAAGTTAAGCTCTACAAAGGTACGCTCAGATTTACAGATGCACTGAATATTCGACCAAAGTGAATGTTTGGCTTTTTCTAAAACGTTCAGTTTTGGCTGCATCACGGGAATCTTGCACTGAACCTTACTCCCACTTGCATGCCAGCATATGAACAGAAGAGGGTGTTTTCATCAAATATTATTCCTTTCTAGGTCTCTCTTTCGCTGTATTTATGTGCTGGTGCCTAGGTCTTCCCTATGCATTAATGTCTGCCTGTCTATCTCTAGCTCTATGTTTTGTATCTTTCTCTATATCTGTCTGTATCAAAGAGCATTCACATATAAATTCTACAACGTTTTGAAATGCAATCGGCATGAATAATACTATATACATATAACGTTTGATGCTCTTGCATGTGTATTGCAGCACAAGTCGGAGACGAGGTAGTTCAGGAGGCAACATCTTTTATTGTAACACCTTTCCGGCCATTCACACACAGGATCGCCTCTTTTCTTGCTCACGTTGCCGAACAGCCCGGCCTAGACACAACCCTAACAGCGTTGCATCAACGGAGTCGACTGAGACAGCCAACAGCTGTCCGGCCACGGAATTATCGAGTGAAGGCGGCAGCGACGAAGGCGGCGAAGACAACAGCGACGGCGAGACGAGTCCACTACCAGAACCGGCAGCCTGAAGCTCTTGCTCTCTGCTGCTTTTATTATACTCTGGAACCCACTAGCGGGTTCCAAGGGCTTCCCGATGAGGTCTTCCGTGACCCTTTCCCTCGTTCCTCTGCCCTGCCAGCACACCCGTGTATATGCTCGACGGCGTGTGCACTATCTGTCCACCGCAGTTGCCGCTGCTTGACAGCAATCGGCACTATGTCACTACACGTGTATAACATTTCTCTCTTCCTTTTTGTTTCTGTCTCTCTCAGCTCTGTCTGTGTCTGTAGAGAAAGATGTCTCAGCTGATGAGCGAGGTGATGTCACTCTGTGGTGCAACATCACACAACCGGAGCGTGAGGAGTACATGTGTGGTGTCATGTGGATGCTCCCCTCTACATCGGTGACCGTGAGCCTCAACGTGAGTGTCACAAATGAAATGGATATTTAGACTGTCACAAATAGGTATAACTGTGTGTATGTGTTAACAGTAAGTCACAGATGTTGCAGTTTTATACATTTAAACAGTGCTTCAGTTTGGGTCTTTTCTAGAACTCTATCCCCTCCCATAACCCAAATCCTGGCCTAACTTCACTGGGTTCATATCCACAAGCATGTTGACTACAAGATCATAGTCCTTGAATTTAAATTCATCCATGGCCTTGCCTTTCCTTTGTACCTCTGCAAAGTTCTCCACCCCCATGTCTCAACAGCCACCCTCATTTCTTAAAAAAATTACGCTTCCACATGCACACCCACGCACACCGCGGCCACACTAACAAAATAAGTCTGTGAGTGCGCTCACACCTGCGCGATTACCTCACGCGGGTAAACATAGCGATCCTGTGATTACCACCCCGTGTTCACTCTCGCCGCATGTTCCCCCACCGCTACCCAGGTCTCAGCTTGCACACGCAGTCGCTCCACACAGAAATCGCAGACACCACACCACCTATGCTCTGTGCTAACTTTTATTCTCGGTGCAAAACCACAATCCCTTAAAGTAAGCTACCCAGTTGGCACTACCCAGGGGGAGTATCTTGCGAGAAAAACCTAGCCTCCTGCTGTCTATGCTCCCACTCACTCAAGCATCCTATCACGCACCTCATAGCTGTACTCACGGCATTAAACGGACGCTGTGAGAGGCGGAGAGGAGAGGACGAGAAAGTATTGCCTAACACTGCCTCGTAGTGGCATTCGCTGGCGTCATGCAGACGCTGCGAGCGGCTGAAGAAGGCAAAATGGCAGGGGAGTCTTGACGGCCAAGATGTTGAAGATCAACTGTTCGAATGGCCCCCGGGCTCCCCTTTTGACTCCCTTGACTTCAAAAACCTGGGGTCGCGTCGCACCGTGCGGCCAATCATGCGCCTACCCGTGGTTACTGCTTGGGTTGTTCCTTTTTTTGTTTTGCCCTTACATGGATCGCCGTGGCCGGTGCTCCTGCGATCCATTGTCAATACACGGGTGTGAATTTGGTATAGGGGTCAGCGGGGGAGGGTCGTGGCACTGCGCTCCGCTGATCTCATTGTTTGCCTTTCTCGTTTTTTCCACCCCAGCTTCTTCCGATATCGTGAATGACTTATCGCGGCTGGCCAGTTAACCTTTTTGTGCCCAGACACTGTTAAGACAACTCAGGGGCACCGAGATGTACATTGTCCCGCGAGGGTCGGCCAATTCCCTGGCACCGGGAACCCTATGGACCCTTTGGATTAAAACCCGGTGTGCCAAGCTATCCCACGCAAGGACACTACATGTGTGCGCTGCGTGTGTGTATTCAGTGTGGGGGCCAGGAGGGGCTCGCGATGCTTGCAGAGTGGCTTTGAGGCCGTGGCAACACATAGCCGCCCAAGGTGCCCGTCCCCGTCGTGGTCTGACTGGAGCACCTCACCTGGGTCGGTCCAACCAGGTAGCGCCGCAGAGTCCGTGGGACCCGCCCGGCTCCTTTCGCTGGTGTCGCGGGTGGTAGCTCAGCTTCGCGAGGCCCCAGCGGCGGTCTCCGTCTCTATGACAGAGGCTTCTCCTGCACTTCGGCGTCACCTGGGTGGGTAAAAAACTCAGGGGGAGAGGGGTTTAGGTGTCACCGCGCCCGTCGCCTCCTTGCTGGGCCAGAGCCCGCTGGGAACTTGGGCCCAGCGGGACCCATGTATGGCTTGAAGCTGTCGGGTATGGGGGCGCTTGGGGGGTCTGGGGGGTTCGGGGGGTTCGGGGTTTTGAGGCACCCGAGAGGCGGGCACCTCTCCGGCAGGGGCCGCCCTCCAGGGTTTCAATCGGCGGATGTTAACCACCGTCTCTCGACCCCTCTCCCTGTATTGAATCAGCACCATCCAGAGGGAGATCTGCCGCACGACGGTCCAGGGTCCTCACCAGTAGGTTGTCAGCTTCCCCCCCACCTGTCCGGCCCCTACACACGGGATATGCAGCCACACCTTAGAGCCTGCTAAGTAGAAGGGAGGCTCCACACAGGGGACGGGCACCCTGCTCTTGCCGCTGGTCAGTGGCCTCCCCCTGCTGGTAGGCCTAGCTACGGGCCACGTGCATCAAGTGCTCCACGGGCTGGCTCCTCTCCTCTGGTTGTGGTGGTGGAACGCCAAACAACAGGTGTGTAGGCAGGCGAGACTCACGACCAAAATCATTAGGAACAGGGTCTGCCCAGTAGAAGTGTGTACCGTGGTGGTATAGGCAAACACGGTATAGGGGAGGTGTTCATCCTAATCCTGCTGATTGGCGGCCGCCATACATTTGAGCTTTCCAGCCGAGGACTGGTTCATGCGCTCCATCATACCATTCGCCTGGGGGTGTTATGCTGTGGTTCGGTCCTTCTGGATTACGAACTCCCATTACAGCACCTGAAATAGCTCTGCCACGAACTTACTTCCCTGGTCTGTAATGACTCGTTCGGGAATCCCATGTTTGAGCACGTAATGCTCAATAAATGCCTGGGCGACCACAAGGGCCATCTTATCGGGGATGGCCACTGCCACTGGGTAGCGCATAAAATACTCCACAGCCACGAGAATGTACCGGTTGCCTCGGTGGGACCACAGGAACGGCCCCTGTAGGTCGACCCCAATCAACTGGTTCGCCTGGCTGACGCGGAACGGCCTCAGGGGTACCTGATGCCACGCCGGTTTCTGCCCACACTGTTGACAAATGCGGTAGCCCTGTACCTAGGCGGCCACGTCTTGGTTCAGTTTGGGGCAGAGATACTGGCGATGCAGGGTCTCCCGAGTGCGCTGTTCCCTGCCATGAACCCCAAGTGTGGCCGCACCTAGGCGGGAACACAGATGCACCCCAGCTGCCCGGCTTTGGCTAGTTCCTGCACCACCCCATCCTTCACACACAACCGGGAGTACAACCCACTCCAGGTGGCGTTTTCCCGCAGTGCCGCCTCAACCACTTCCAGGTCCTGATCCCGCTGTTGTGCCTGTCGTAGCTGCTCATTGTCCAGGCTGGAGAATGCGCATCCGACCTCCTCTTTTATCCGGCCGGGTTGGTCAGAGCATCCCGTCTGGCCCAGACGGGATGCTCTGACCCAGAAATGACCTCATCTCCGTCAGGTTCCTCGGCCACAGGCATTCAGAAATGACCTCATCTCCGTCAGGTTCCTCGGCCACAGGCATTCCACTAGGGAACTTACCTTTTCTAGGTCGGTACACACCCCTGCCACGCTGACACGGTGTCCAAGGTACCCCTCCTTGCACTGCGCAAAATCAAACTTATGCGGTTTGAGCTTGAGATGGGCTGCTCGCAGTCGTTGGAACACATCCCACAACCTGGACCAGTATTCGGGCAGGGACCTACTTAAGACTATAATATAGATAAATCAGGCACTGTTCCCACTGTAAGCCCCACATCACCAACTCCATCAACCGCTGGAACGTCGCAGGTGCATTAGTGAGTCCGAATGGAAGCACACAGAACTCAAACAGTTCCATCTGGGTGGTGAACGCGGTCCTCGGCCGATCCTCCTCTGCCATCTCCACCTGCTAGTACCTGGATGCCAGATCTAGGGTGGAGACATACCGTACCTCCGCGAGGCTGTCAAAGGTATCATCGATGTGGGTGATGGGGAAGGCATTGCCGAGGGTAACCGCGTTCAGCATCCTATAATCAACACAGAACCATGTCGAACCATCCTTTTTCGTCACCTGCACATCCGGGGCGGACCAGGGGCTCAATTAGGGCTGGATTATGTTATCGAGGAGCGTGTCTGCGACCACCTCCATCATCTGGGCCCGTTCGGGAGCGCCCACTCGGTAGCTGGGGAGTTTAATGGGTCAGGCCGCACCTGTGTCAATTTGGTGCTTGACGAGGTCCATCCGGCCAACATCCGAAATGTGCTCACTAAACATGTCGGCGTACTCTCGCAGTAACTCCCACAGCTGATCGGCCTCCACCTTTGATAAATCCGCCCATGGTACCAGGAGCTTGTCAAGCAGGGGGACGACCTCAGCTCGGGGGGTCGGGCCAACCCGGCATGCCAGGTCCTGGTTGTCCTTGGGGCCGCAGGGGTCCTCAGCCCAGAGGGCAAATATCGAGTTGCTCGAGTGGCACGCGCGAAGGGTTGCACCGTGGCCACTGGGGTGCACCGTGGCCACTGGGGTGCACTGTTACATCGTTGCTGGGGTGCTGTGGGGGTTAAAAACTCGCAGAAACAGCTGGCCCCCATCAGTGTTCACCAACGTGGCCGACCCTACGACCCCATATTGTGCCGCCATCTCCAGGTGAGGGGTCAACATTACCTCCCCTGATGGACAATGAGAGGGGTCGGTGGGTCCATCGCCACAGGAAACAACATCTCCACAAGGGGGCCGATGGTGATGGCCGATGCCAGGGTCGCAGCCACGGGCACGAAGCGGGGGCGATCCGGCTCCTGTCCCAAGAACGGGATCCTCTCCCCGCTCCCCTCCCCGGTGGTGCATCACTTGCAGGGCTGCAAGTTGAGCCCCAACTTTTCCAGGAGATTCGTACCTGCAATGCACTCATGGCATCTAACGATTGACATAGAATTCCTGGTTACACACCTGGAGTCCGAGGCGGACCTCAAGTGTGACCCTCCCCAGCAGGCCCATCCCAGCTCCACTCGCAATATGCAGCACGCGGTCCGGGGCCTGTAGGCGGCCCACGTCGACTCCGACCGTGGTGCATTGTGTTGCGCTCACGAGCGAGGCTACTGCCCCCATGTCCAGCAGAATCCGGGTACGCCGCCCGTTCACCTGCCCTTCCACTAGTGACGCGGCCCTCATGATTCCTGCCAATAGCTCCCGCAGCCAGTCACCTGCAGTCGCCGCGTTCTCGCACGTTGTTGTAAGCAATAGCGTGGGGGTCACTCGCTCGCCATTATTATTACTGTCTATTCGTGCCGGGACCACGTCGATTTGCACCCCTCGGTGGTCCCCTCTCTAGGGGCGAATTGGTGTTTAACCCTCGTGCTTGTCTAGTGCGGGCGATCTGAAGACAGGCTCTCACGAAATGCCCCAAATTGGTTGCACAGACAGCACGCACGGGGACGGGCGGTGGCTCCATAGGAGGCCCCTTGACCCCTTCTCCTCCCAATGCGCATCTGTCCGAGCTCTGTCTCTAATTGAGACACTCGCCCGGTTATCCCCCCTACCATGGAGCGTAGTCCTTCCACTTCGCCCTGGACTGCCTTCACCGAATATAAAGACACCGGGTGGGTGGCTATTAAAGGGACAAACAAAAACTTTATTGAGGACCCGACCGTGGAAGTACTGGGATTAGCTCTTTCTCGATGACTGTAAATCACGCTGAACCGCGTTCGGGCCCAGCGCATGAGATGTGCGGCATACGCGTTGTTCCATAAAAGGAAAATCAAAGAGTCACCAAACTGCGACTGTGGTGAAGCCCAAACGATCAAACGCATCACCGCTGATGGTATTGCTGCAATCCATACAGCTTCTAGTGCCGCCTTGGATTAGTGACTTTCTTACCTTACTCTCTATTTTGCACTCCAATCGTGTTTTGTGTATTGTGTTTGTTGTAACTTGCTGACCCGCCCATACTGGACACCTGTGAAAATAACTTTTTAGCTCATCGGATTCCTCCTGTAGTATAAAGATGCTAATTCTGATATAACCACTCCTGAAACTCATATCTGGGCTTGCCTGATTAAAATAAAGTCAAGGGAAACCATGCTAAGACATCGAACTGAATACCCGAAAAAAATATGTTTTATTGTGGAATGCTGAAACCCAGTAACCCTCTTAGAGGGATTTAGCTGAACTACATTCCTGTAAAGCTTATGTTGCGATGCTAATGGATTATTAATATGCATGTGTGCTGTTCATTTGGAATGCACGAATTCAAGGACTCACAAGTCTCTAGCGGAGTGCATCAACTGGGCGACGTGATGTACGAGGGACACTTGGACCTTAGGCATGGCTCCAGCTATGTGACACTCTATAACGTTACACGAGCACACGGTGGAAATTACTCCTGTGTTATCAACACCAACGGCTCGAGAGGAAGCGCCACTGGACGTCTTTGGATTACTTCACCCAGTCCTACTGGTAAGAAGCCATCAATCAACACGGCGTCCAAATTACTAGAAATTAAACTTTATAGAAGTCACTGGTGCAACTCTTGTGCAATACTATTGCTTCTATTTTTTTGAATCGCATGTGGTCAAGCAAATCACTGTGGGTACCCTAATTGCCTTTTCTCTCTCTGCTGTACATACATTTGTTTTTGCCCCTGTCATCGGAAATGCACGAGCATTGAGGCATCGGGGCTCATCGCATAATTACAGGCCGGAAACGACAGTGGAATTCCAGAGTATCACGGAAGAGAGTCTATTTTATAGGATAACCATTGGCGATTCGCCCACAACGTGGTACTCAATTTATCGTCACCAAAACTCAAAATAGAACTATATTGACCTTTGTCCAGATTAAATAATTATTGCTCAAAGATGCCTGCATATTTTATTTTTGTGATTAATTTGTGGATTGGTCACGTTTAGAAAAGAGAGAGCAGAGGGTATTTCCTCACACCCCTCCCAGCCTATACCGTGCAAACGAGTAACGATGTAGGAAGGAGGGATTTGAAATGTTGTACGATCTGAAAAAGAACATTTATTAAAATATGTTGAAATATGACGTCACTGTGAGTTCTGGCACTAACATGGCGTCACGTCGGTGCATTTCCCTCAAACGGTGGTGTCATGTACCTTTGGGTGACGTCATGTACTCCCCGTTGTCGTGTGGATTTGTCTCCGGTCCCCCGGGTTTTCCCTCCACATTTAGAAACAACATCACACGTTTAGAGTGCTTGTCCGCTGATATCAATTTTTACGTGATAAGCCATTTCGTGGAACTATCATTTGTAGCCAGGTCACTTCTGATAAAGAGCTACGTAGGGGCCGTCCATAAATGACGTCACGCGATTTTGGCCGATTTTTGACCCCCCCCCCCCTCGTCACACGGCATCACAAAAAGGCAGACCCCCCCCTCAAATATGACGTCACAAAGCTCTGCCCCTCCCCCCCCCAAAACCACATTTCCATTTTGAAAAAAAATACATGTTTCAAATCACTTTAGACTATTGTCATATAGTGCGTGTTTAATGTGGCGCTGCACTCTGATGTTGTAGGAGAAAACACAAATTAAAAAGGAGGCTGTGGGGGCTGATGCTCCCCTCTTCCTCTCCCCCGACCGCCTCCTCTCCTCCCCGCCGGGCTGCCGCCGATCGGGGAACTCTCGCGCAATTCCTCACCCCTCGGACGTGCTCGCGGTATCTTACGGACGCGATGGGAGTCAGAGGGACGAGGGTCCGGGAGGTCTCTGCCTGGGTCGAGTTGTGGCTGCGCTCGCCAGCGTCTCTCGGACGCTCGAGCGGCTAGGAGTCCGACTGGGTCGCTGGCTGGCTGGTTCGAGGAGAACTGAGCTGACGTTGTTTCTCTTCCCTCCTTTTATCTCTTCCCCATTCAAAAATCTCTGGCCAAGTTGTGTTGCCCTTCCAGCCAATCGGGGCGCCTACCTTTCGATTTTCAACCAATGCCCCGCCCCCACCTGTCGTTTTCCTTTCGCTTGCTCTCCCAACCCATTGTCTACGTGCCCGTCGTTTTCGTCTCCTACTCTTGGTTGAGGTTTTTAGCTTTAGCCAGCTCGTTAGATGTTTTGCTCTCCCCACGGCCCTATTCCCCTGTGTTCGGTGTGTTCTCATTGCGGTTACTCGGTGAGCTCACCGTGGCCATACAATTTTAAGTTAATCCAAGGGGCCGCAGTGCAATTCGGCCTGGGGGGGGGGGGGGGGGGGGGGGGGGGGGGGGGGGGGGGGGGGAGGGGGGGTCGGCCAATCTTCTGGCACTGGGAAACCGTGGAACATCCCCACGAGGGGGCCCTTGGGTAAAAACCCAGGGTGCCAGGTGACCACCACCACCCCCACGAGGCCCTACGTGGGTGTATGTGTGTGTGTTTAGAGGGGGTGTGCGTGCGTTTGTGTGGGGGGTTGCGAGGGGACATCAGCGCTGGCAGAGTGGCTCCGTTGCTGTGACACCACAAGGCGTTGGAAAGCTGAAATTGAGCATAAAATTCACTTGAAATTATTCAACGTCTAACTAAAACTGCAGATGTTCAGAATATTATATTGAAAGTCTCTTATAATTATAAAATAATAAAAGTCGTTATAACTATTAAAAAAAACTACCTTAAACTTTGTAGTAGATCGAAGCAAAATGGAGAGTACAATTATAACAATCACATATTCATTCCACAAAATGAAAGGCCCTGGTAGAATCATTAGAATCAAAATGTTTAGTAAAAATCATTAATAATTTACAAAATTTATGCTTTTTGATTTAAAGCTTTCGTGACTGCAGTGATTCATATTCTTGGTTCTTTCGGTAAAGTCACGTTGAAGGGAAACAAAAACATAATAAAATATATATATAAAACAATAAAATTCTCACGACGTTTCGACTGTAACACAGTCATCATCAGGTGTGAAAACCAACGGCAAAAAACATTTCAAACATTTCAAATGTTTCTTGCCGTTGGTTTTCACACCTGATGATGACCGTTTGTGTTACAGTCGAAACGTCGTGATAATTTTATCGTTTTATATATATTTTATTATTTTATTGTTTCCCTTCAACGTGACTTTACCGAAAGAACCAAGAATATAAAAATGTATGCTTCTCCATTCTCCCATGGAGAAGCAAAATGCTCCTTCATGGAATAAATAAAAGGTGACCTTAGTAAATTTAAATAATAAAATAGTTAATAATGAAAATTAATCAAAATTTGTGTTATAACAATTATTTTGTTTATATTGATTTAAAGTTGCGCATTTTGATGTGACGTCACATTTCTCAAACTCCCCCTCTCCCTCGTTACACATAGTGATCAAATGTCTGACCCCCCTAGGTGTGTGACGTCATTTATGGACGGCCGCATAGCTCAGTGGGCTTTGCCTAAATGCATGATGCTGATTCGAAATGTGGAGTAAAAACAATCGGAGGACACAGGAAAAAGTCCGGGCGACGACGGGGAGAGATAGAGACACACATACTCCAAATATACAGCAGGCATCTTCAGGGTCGGGATAGAACCCACGACCTCCTGCGTACAAGGCAATGGAAATAACATCCCCCTATCCACCGTGGCGCCCCACACATTCAAATTCCATTCGGAATTTTATCAGCTCTTTATGTTCACTAATTTAATAATACAATGAAATTTAAATAGCATTATTCATGCACATTTCATCTTAAAACGGCGTTGAAAATGTTGCACAGTTTCCACACAGAGGTGGAGAAATCCTCCTGGCTGCCGCCTGATGAAGCTGGTTGTAATTACTGGCGAAACGTCGTACTCAGAATGTAAATGTTGTGGCTTTGCTCTCCAACACACAACCGGTTAGTGCTGTACTAGTAACGATTTGGCATGTTCTGTTTTCGTGACAAACTTTACTAATTGGCTGTGTAGGGTGGTGGCTGGTTTAACGACACTGTGAGCCAGCTTGTCAGTGCGCAACGTGTTCAGGCTACTCTCTTAATTACAAAGTTTATATTTGCTCCTTCACAGAGGAAACGCATGAAAAAGATGACAACAACAAAGGTAATGTTGTGTGCCCGCTCACTGTTGAATATACACACATGACGAGCTGTGAATGTTGCGCGGTTGACCGGTACCTAAAAATCCTCACCAATAATGGTTGTAAATGGCACTAACGTATTTGATGCTGCTTATTTATCCAGGAAAGCCTCATTGAGTCTCAAGACTCTCTTTCAGGAGGGCACTGCCAAGACTTCACAGTCAGGGGAATGTTCTTTCTGCATAATTTAAATTTAGTAATTTACAGGTAAATTCTCCGCATTGGGATGTTTGGCCCAACGCGAAGACAAAGATCCCCCGTGTAGCCTTAACAGACTGTTGGGGCAAGTGCTGTTAGCGAGCACCTATGAAGGCCGGAAAGGCACACGAGTGGGTGGATGGTCAGCACCATGCCTGGCTACTTTTGTCTCCCTAGTGGCGATGCTTAAACACCACACCAGGTACTCATTTGAGGCTGAGTCTTCCAAGGGGGGCCCAGTACCGGTTCAGATAATCGTCACTGGTGTTGGCCATGAGCGTGAATCGAACTCAAGTCGCCGGGTTCGTTGTGCAGCTTAGAGCTAACCGCTACACCATCTCTCCCACAATAGCAGTCACTTACATTTTGCAGAGTTGGGGGTGAACATATCAACTCCACGCAAAAGGGGCACCGAGTCGGGAATTGAACACAGGCACTTATTATAGCGAAGCAACAAGTGTTACCACTGTGCCACCCCACCGACTATGGAGTAGCGCTTTAGCTTTCAACTTCTGGCAAAAGCCTCTCTGACCTGAAGTAAGTTATCGATGGCTTAAATTCCCATGTTGCCTCGGCTGGCCATACTTTAACAAGGAATGCCAACCTGGTCCCACTCTTGATGTGCGACCTGCTGGTCTTCTGAAATTTCCAACCTTGCAGCAGGAATTCAGATTCATCCCTGACTCCGATTTGGACATGTTTAAACTACTTTCCTCTCTTATCACGTCTTCTACTATCAGTGCAGATGTATTTGCATCCTTTGCACCTCCGATTAGCATGGTTGGCTATGTAAGGAGATTTCCCAGGCCACACACTTTTGCAAATGTTTCAGGAATGTTGGATACGCTGTCAGCGAAAGCAAGGGTTTTGGTAGGTGGGTGGGTTCAATTCCAGTTGAAATACTCTGTGGGGATGAATTCACCCACAGGAAAGGACGCAATGGCATCGCGCAGAGGTGTACGTGAGACTCTGAGTTTTTGCTTTACGGTGGGTGTGATGAGCACATTCAGATGAACTCTTGAATTTTTTTGGGCACGATCGATCTTCAAGGCAATGGCTTATAGGTGAGAGATGGAGCCTATTGGAGAGCAGTCGATATCGTTGCCGTATAGTGCCACCTATGAGCGGGTGTCTTTCCAACCTGGACGTCTTGAAACGTTCAAGAACATAAACAAACATTGTCGATGCCATTTTTGTTTGTTTGTTTGAGAGCCAGGTCTCTGAAAGGCAGATGATATCGAGACACCCGATTGTCCATCTTCATCTAGAGGAGATCCAGATTTTTTCAAAAAATCTCAAAAATGTAGGTGAATGCCTCGACCAGATCTGTCTTAAAATTAAATCTTACGGAAGGATGTTGAGGTGGAATTGGATCGCCCAGGACCAGGATTGCACTCGATACCCCCAATGAGAAGTAGCATGCTGAGCTTATCTCCATGAAAAATACTTTGGTTGATATATGCCTTGAAGGGTAATGTGTTTTAGGGGTTAGGGAGGGGTGAAAGGAGGAAATGGGATATTTGGGAAGTAGCAGAGAGGGCTCAGCTGGAGAAGAAACGGTGAGTTATGACTAGGGAGAAGTGTGTTGACTGGGGTGTGAGGGCAGACAGAGAGAGGGAGAGCAAGAGTGAGAATCAAGAGACAGGATGGTGGAAGGAGGAGGACATAGAATTAGAGGGGAGGAAATTAGTTATTGCAGCTAAATACTCTAAATGCACGATGTGTATTCTAAATGTGGAGGAAAAAACAGAGGACCTGGAGTAAAATTCACGCGACCACGGGGAGAGGGACACGCAAACTCCAAATATATAAGCATCAGGGTGAAGATCGACCTCCTGTATACCAGGCGAAGGAGATAACATCTCCTAGCCACTGTGGCGAGTTGATAAATAAGTGGGCCATTTTGTGTTTGCGTCATGGTCCAGATTTCTGAAATTCGAAAAATGACACTGCAACTTACTAAATTGTGATTATTTCACATAGCCATCATTCCCCCCTATTAGAAGACTCAAGCCTAATACCAGGCCATGTGCTTAGTCACCTTATGCAGCTCAGGGACAACCGATACGTTGAGTGCCCTTTCAGAAACATGTCTTTAAGGTACAGATTGATCGCCACGTGTGAAACACTCTGAGACACACCAGAATAAAGGTGGGTTCGTTATAAAATACAAATGAGCAGACTCTGTATTCTTAGTATATATCAATGAAGTGTACTCAAGATGCTTTGTGTGTTTTTCTTCCCCCACACCTCTGATCAGCATGGTTGACTATGTATGGTGCCAAAGAAGTTCCACATGCATATGTTATAAAGTATTTCCACGACGGAGCTTTATTCAGAACGGTGCAACATAGTTTCACTTCCCTCCCGATGACTCCACTCTCCCAATCCGTGGACGAGGCGCCTCTCTCTCTCTCTCTCCACGATCCCGTGGCTCACTCCACTCTCTGGCCTCACCGCTGGCTGACAGCACGCTGGAATAGGGGGTGCGCCTCGAGGAAAGACCCGCCACATGGCCCGTGGCGAGGAGGAGAAGGCAGCACCGCCGTCCGGAACCCAGGCTTCCACACCGACCCCGAACATTCCCCCCGCTCACCCTTATAGCCCCTTTGGCGGAGCTAAGCCCCGCCTCTGGCCACACCCCCTCGGGGAACCTTCTCGAGGGTTCACGAACGCCTCACCTGCCTGATCATATACTTTCATCCAGTCTTCTGGAAGAAAGTATATGTTGAAGGTGATGCTTTCTTTCTTATCTGGAAGACACATTTTGGCATCGTATCTTCCTCTCCCAGAAGCCGATAAAATACATGTTTCAGCAATGTACGTATGTTGAACTTCTTTTACACAATATGTAGCTAATCGTGCAAACTGGAGGTGCGGCAAAAGGACAACAAACTCGACACAACAACAACAAGCAGTTCTAAAGAAATTAGTTTATCAATCTAATTGATGATTTCAAAGTGCACAGCTCCAGTGGCTTCCTAATATCGGCAGGAGAATCGTTCCAGACGGCCTTGGAAGTGCATCTGAAAAGCGCGCGTTGTCGCGACCGTCTCTGTTCGATAGCCAGGCAACATTTGTTTGTTATTTGACAATTATATTTATGTTTTACAAGCCCGCTGGTCATCAGCTATCCATTGAACACTCCCTAAGTTATCCAAATGTGTTTTCTCGTTTGTTACTAGAATACTTGAAATTAACTTTTCATATGTCTGTTACGGTTTTTTTTCTTTCAGATTCATATTTGTACCTCCTAGCGATTTTTATTATTTTGGTTCTGGTTTTCGCTTTCTGGTTAAAGAAGAGACGCAATAACAAGGCCAACAATAACATTATCCGGTGAGAAAAGCAAACAAAAGTTCCCACTTTTATAAGTCTAAAGCTACATTTCGATTTAAAGCTTTCGTGACTGCAATGATTCATCTTCTTTGGTTCTTTCGGTAAAGTCACGTAGAATGAGAATAATATCAATTTATTATTTTATTCTCATTCTACGTGACTTTACCGAAAGAACCTAAAGCTAAACTTTTACATACACAGTTGTTAGATAAATCACCAACTTGAAAAAATGTTTCAATAGTGAAGATTTTATGGATATTTGTAATTTTAATGTTGCATTGCCAGGAAATGTTACTCTGCAATCATTAACGTTTGCATTGTTGCTGTGCTGTGCATAATTGTGTTAAGAATGACTGCACTCCTGCCATTTAGCGGCATTTAAACAGAGTTTAGAGCGTCTGAGCAAATCATCTGGAATTTTTTCAAATCTAGGAAGCTAAGTGGGGTTGAGTCTGGACAGTTCTTGGATTGGACGACCATTATGCCACAATAGGTGTTGTAGGCTGCTGTGGGCTATATTCTCAACCGAGATCAGCGAAATAAGTATTATTTTACAATATTTCTATGCTCACACGTCTGTAAACTTCAACTCGCACGACCTGGTGTGGTGAAGTATGGTCAAATAATCCCCCGGCAATGGGTTGTAGATTGACAAAATAGCTAAACATGTAGAACGAGGGGTGTGTGCCGTTTCTCGGTTATGTTTGATGTTTTTCAACAACACGCCACGATGTAACTTGTGCATTTAATTCAACAGCAGCGAACCTGAGAATAATTCGCCATATGATGTTGAAAATGAGGCAAGAAACAATGCAACCGAAAACCGAGAACATGCTGCAAACAGCACAGAAATACCTACAGGCAACAAGGTATTGGATTTTATTTTGTGACAATATCACAGCCTTTGTGCCAGGCCAGGTGCGCCTTGAGGTCATGTGAAGTGTTGAAGGCTTGCTGGCAGCAGGTCACGTGACAGACCCAGCAGGTGTCATGGGTTGACTGACTGAGATGACTGACAGAAGCACCACCTGTTCCCCCTACTGTGCAAATCGGTTGTGTTGTAGCCGCCTGGCACTCTGCTTGTTGTTGTGAGCATCGCTCCCCTGCCCTCCATTGTTGCTGGAGGGCGACTGCCTCCAACTGCCCAGTAGCAGCGTCCTTCACGATCCAAATCCTCCATAGAGGCCGATCTTTACACTGCTGGTACCAGCCGTCGGCAAGTCCACTCAGCTCCACATCCCCCCATTCTGCATCAGTCCATCTCTTCTCCAGCTCATGTCGTGCCCGTTTAACCTCCTCTAAGTGGCCAATCAGAAGCTTATTGGGTATGCAGGTTACATGATCCAGACAACACAGCCTCATGTACTGGAGGAGTTCACCGATGGGACTTTGTCCAGATCTTTCAAGGATTTGTGAGCTCCTAACACAATCCAGCCTAGTTAAACTCAGAATGGATGATAGCCAGGCCAGCATAAATGTTTCTAACTGGCAAAGATGTTCCATTAAAGGGGTCCATGTTTCACAAGCACAGAGAAGGGAAGTCATGACCGTGGCCGAGAGGACCCGAAGCTTCGTGTAAAGCAACAGACCAGGTAGCTTTCACACAGCGTTATGCAGCCGATGAAAATATAATGTCGCTGGACTGATTCGGAGTTAGACCTCTACTGTCAAAGCAGAGCCGGTAATGAGCACACTGCCCCGGTATGAAAAACTCTCCACTCTCTCCATAACTGCCCCATCACCAGTTGAGTTGTGGGGGTGGAGTGTCTGATGGCACAAAATCCCCAGGCAGGTGCTTAGTTTTGGTGGGACTGATTGTCAGGCCTTAGCTCAGTGTCAGGCTCCCGGTTCAGCAGCAGCGCCTCCAACTCCCCCTCCCAGTATGCAACAATCACCAGATCAAAAGCATGCATAACATGTTTGAGCAATAGGGGACCATTCCTTGACCGCACCGGGCATCGATCAGCCTCTCATTGTATCTGTACTAGATGGAGATTCCTCCAGTACAGCCATGGAAGGCTTCACGAACTACGTGGTCTAAACAGATGTTAAATAATGTGGGTGCCAGACGACATCTCTGTCACACCCCATGGTGAACAGGGAATGGTTCCGACTCCCAGCCACGTACTTTTACCCGGGCCTGCCCACCATCGTGAAGGTGCTTAATGATTGTGAGCAGAGTAAAAGATCACCAAACACAGAGAATAATCCAGAGCCCTCGAATATTCATAATAGGCCTTGACCAGGTCAATAAAGCAGAGATGTAGGTCCTTTGCTATGGCAGACAGGCAAAACATATGGTGTGTGTGCAGGACCGGTCCATTTTTAAACCACATTGGGGCTCCATAAGCATCTCCTCAGCGTACCTGGTAAAGCGATGTTGAATGATCCTTGCCAGGACCTTTCCCGGCACACTGAGGAGGGAGATGCACCTGTAATTGTTCCAATCAGTTCAGTCCCCTTTCTGAAAGAGATGCACTACCAGGGAATCTTCATCATCATGCAGAACCAATTCTGTGATCCAAACAGTTATGATTATGTCATATACCTTCGTCAGCCATGGTTTTAGGTGAGGTCTGAACTGCATACTCATTGCAGCCATAGCTGCTGCATGAGCCACAGTCCTATACTTTACCCATTTCCCATCGACATTGGGAAAAGGAGGGGATAATACCAACCTTAGCTGCAAGCGATGATGAAATTCCCGCTTGCAAATTTCATCAGCTAGCTGAGACCAGGCCACTGTGGGTTTTAATGGGGTCCTTGTTGGATGTCCACCACCACTACAGGGGAAGATATGTAAGCCACTTCTTAGAGATGACAAGTCGTTGGTCAGTGGGCAGATCAGTCCTGGTGTCAAGGGCATGGACCCGCATCCACGATTCCATCACTATATAGTTCAGCACATGTTAATTCTCGGACCCAGCATGCATCCATGATGTTGTGTGGATGTACCAATACTGCAACAGCATGTTGGTGATTACAAGCCCATGGGCAACATACACGTCTATCAGCCTATTTTGGTTGTTATTGAGCTGATTTGGTGCATGCCTTCCAATCATTCCAGAACAGGTTTCTGCATCATGACCCACTCATGCATTAATGTCACCCAACTGGATGACTATCCCAAGGGGTTACTTTAACCAGCACAGTTGGCTACGTACAGTGTGAAATAAGTTCAACATACATACACAAAAGGGATCTGATTCCTCAACCTTGCTTGCATCCCTCCACTGATGTTCATCTTTAACAAGCACAAGCTGGGGCATCAGCATCAGCGCTATGGACATCAACAATAGCCCTTGTGTACTCTGTAGCCGAGTACTGTGCACCAGTATTAACCAGAAGTAGTCACCACTCGACTTGTTGATGTATAAAACTGTGTACTCTGTACGCTTTGGTTCTTTCGGTAAAGTCGCGTAGTTAGAAATAAAATAAAACAAATCACGACATTTCGGGCGCAACTCAAGCGTCCGTCATCAGGTGGGACAACCACAGCAAGAAACAATTGCTGACGTGGGCGAGAAGGCTGCCATGACAAAAGGTTATATAGGTAAGAGAGGGGGGAGGAGCAAGGGGGAAGAAAGAGAGAGGAGGGGGTGTGGGGCAGGGGGAGGGGAGCGAGAGCGCTAGGGGAAGAGAGGACGTGAGGGTGGGGGGGGGGCTGGGAGTGGGAGGCTGAGGAAGCTGGAGATGCGGATATGATGGCAACAACCATAAAGCAGTTAAGATTTTACCTGGTTAATAACATCCTTCCATTTCGATTTAAAGCTTTCGTGCCTGCAAGGATTCATCTTCTTTGGTTCTTTCGGTAAAGTCACGTAGAATGAGAATAAAATAATAAATAGATAAAATAAAATAACACCTGATGAAGGCCGCTTGTGTTGTGGCCGAAACGTCATGATAATTTTATTGTATTATTTTATTTTATCAATTTATTATTTTATTCTCATTCTACGTGACTTTACCGAAAGAACCAAAGAAGAACATCCTTCCAATGATTGCTCAATTTGCATCCATCTTCTCAGTTGAAGTTATGTCTATGTTTATATATCTGGATGGCTTCATGAACAAACCTTTGATAGTAGCCCGAAGGTTTGCAGAGTACCTTGGTCTCGGAAAAAAACAATGTCATGAGAGCCCACAGCGTTATGGTCAGCAACGGCAGAGGTATTGGTTCTGCCGTGTTTAAAATCTGCTTTGTGTTCGCGAAAAGGATCCGAGACATGTCGTTTCGTTTCCCCAATGTAACTGCCACCGCAGGTACAACTCAGTTTGTAAACTCCAGGAAACCATTTTTATAACGCTGTGGGCTCGCATGACATTGTTTTTTTCTGAGACCATGGTACTCTGCAAACCTTCAGGCTACTATCAAAGGTTTGTTCATGAAGCATTCCAGATATATAAACATAGACATAACTTCAACCGAGAAGATGGATACAAATTGAGCAATCATTGGAAGGATGGCATTGACCAGGTGAAACCTTAACTGCTTTATGGCTGTTGCCGTCATATCTGCATCTCCAGCTTTCTCAGCCTCCCACTCCCAACCCCTCCCCCTTCCCCCCCGTGGCCTCACGTCCTCTCTTCCCCTACCGCTCTTGCAGCACTCCCCCCCCCCCTCTCTCCCCCCTTGCTCCTCCCCCCTCTCTTGCCTATATAACCTCTTGTCACGCCAGCCCTCTCGCCCACTACAGCAATTGTTTCTTGATGTGGTTGTCCCACCTGATGATGGACGCTTGTGTTGCGCCACGGAACGTCGTGATCTGTTTTATTTTATTAAATTTCTACCTACGTGACTTTCCCGAAATAACCAAAGAGTATAGATTCCTGCAGTCACGAAAGCTTCAAATCAAGATTGTGTACTCTGTATTTAAGTATTGTGCACTCGTATGGACCAGAAGTAGTCACCACTCGATTTGTTGATGTACCAACTGATCACTGCCATGCGGTGTATCAGTGGCACCCTTAAGTCGATCCCCAACACCCTGACGATCCGTGCTGTCACAAGTTTCTATCCCACCATTTTGCCGCCACCCTGCAACTCTCCAGGAAGTCCTACAAATCGGGGAAAACAGTCGCATTCCGATTCAGCAGGACCTCAAAAACGTCCCTGGTCATCGCTTAAAGCGACGCAAGCCTCTTTTGGCCACATGCAATTACCTTGAAACTATTTAGATTTCAATCCTGATGAAGCTTGGAAAGCTGAGTGGCATTCAAAAGGACTCACAAACACACACTTTGTGAAAGACCCAACGCAGAAGAGAGTCTCTAGCCTCTGTATGAACTGTGAAGGGCCGATTATATACGTTACATTTCAATGCCGCACACACACATGGTGTTGCTTTTGACACGGATCGTGTTGAATTGTTTCGTGTTATATGTGACTTGTGCACCAGCACCAGGTAATTTGTTTAACGAGGTAAAATTTTACCCCAGGTTTCAATGGCTCACAGCAATGTCCTTCTCTCCCCCGAGGGTTCTGCGGTTTACGCGGTGCTGGAACATCATGGGGACCGTTTGACTGCGGGACAGGAGCCAGCCAGCTGCATCTACTCCCTGGCCAGTGCCGCCACGGCCGACCACACCACGAGCCCCGAAGGCTCCTGCCTGTACTCCGTGGTAAACGTGGATAATAAGGAGAGAAAGAAGAAGACGAAAGAGAAGAATGAACACCAGGCCGCTTTGGGCATCTATTCCCTCGTCAATGCGGGCAGTAGCTAAACCAACAAAAACACGTTCACCATACGCATAACTTACAACACTCCTCTCACCCAACAGAGGCTATACGTAACAGACACAAAGCAAGAGGTCGCCGGGTTGCTTGGAGGTCACAGACGCTGAGCTGCCACAGCCCGATATCCTGCACTTAATTTAGCTAAATTTCAGCTCTGAAAATTAAAATATTAGTTTTAATGTCATGCGATAAAAAATATACTGTCATCGACAGTGACAAAGAAGTGTTGCCCTCTACTGTGTGGACCAGAGTTACACTTCAAGAAAGGATCTCAGAGGGTAGCTGTGATATATGCTAGACATTCGTTTCCTAACTATACTTTACATTACATATTTTAGTGATGAGTTTCGGATTTAACATAATTATTAACATCAAACTTTTAAGCATAATTTCTGAATGATCATTATTTCGTACTTTCACATTTTCGTATTTAAATTCATAAACTGGTAAATAACTGTCATGAATTTTTCACTATCAAAGTATTTACTTTTTTTTATTAACAAATGAAGTATAATGTTGGCATAATGGTTGGAGAACTCTGACAGCAGCTTTATTCCTATAATTAACAAACATTCCATACCATTCATTAGCAGTGGCGAAGGGCGTTTCTTGCGTCGATGAAGCAACATTTGAATGCTTCAAATGCATTGCCTTGAGAAACCAAGGCGAACATGACGGCGGTCAACGCATCATCGTGCGGCACTTGCAGATGCGCTGCTGCTTCTGCGGCCGTCTGGAATGCTCTTCCGATATTAGGAAGCCACTGGGAGTTATCGTGCACTTTCACATCACAATTGAAATTGACATACTCGTTTCTTTATTAAATGCTTTTTGTTTTTATTTTTTTGTCCTTCCTCCACACCTCCGATTAATGCAGTTGGCTACATATGGTGCAAAAGAAGTTCAACATACATACAACATACATACAACGTACATAAATATAAAACAAATTTGTTCCAAATGTATGATGCGTACTAACAGAAATGTCGAAAGGAAAAAAATCAACACACTTGTCAACAACACTGTAACGTTTCTGAGCAATATACCTTATGCATAGCACATGAAGGAAAGGGTGAGATATTTCAAGGATTAACTTCATCCTGTATGGATGTATGACATCACACGGGTTTTTTTTTAAATAACAAATATGTAAATATCTTGATTTGAAGCTTTCGTGACTGCAGGAATCCATACTCTTTGGTTCTTTCGGTAAAGTCACGTAGGTATGAAATAAAATAAATCACGACGTTTCGGGTGCAACACAAGCACCCATCATCAGGTGGGAAAGCATGGTCTGCTGCTGAGGCAGACTCTTTTAAAAAGGTTTGAAATGGGTGTAGACCAAGGGTCATAAAGAAGTGGCCGGGGCTAGTGATGTTAACGTGAGAAATTAGCATGCAACTGTAAGATAGGAGAGCAGCCTCCTCGACGAGGGCACGGAAGAGGCTATGTTAATGTGAGAGATTAGCATGATGTTAATGTAAAATCGAAGAGTGGTGCAATCCAAAGGCATGAGTGCAAAACCAGAGGGTGCAATCCAAAGGACATGTGAGCATGAGCGATCTAAGAGAGAGACACAGAGAGTCGGAAATAACAGCTGACATAGACAGGTAGGATGGAAACATCACAGTCACATAAGACTTTAACTGGTTAATAACATCCTTTCTACACCCGTCTATCAAATTCATTCAAAAATCATACACCCAGCTATCAAATTCACCATGGGAGTGGAAAAGGATGCCAAGCTACCATTCCTGGATGTTTTCATCGAGAAGAGACCTGATGGCTCGTTGGGACATTCGGTCTACAGGAAAGCCACCCACACGGATGCCTATCTAAAGCCTGACTCCCACCACCATCCAGCCCAGAAGAATTCCCTCATCAAAACACTACACCATAGGGCACGTTGCATCTCCGACCAGCACCACCTAGCCAGTGAGTTGGAGCACGTACACCAAGTCCTCAGGATGAACGGATACTCGGACCATACAATCCACAAAGCTGTCTCCCCAGCCATGCAGATACAACCTTCTGAGGATCCATAGCAGCGGTTACCAAAAAGATTTCCAATATCTTAAACAAACACAAGATCCAGGTTCGTTTCAACACAGTACACAAAATCCGTGATTTTATCCCATCTGTAAAGGATGTGATTCCTGACATGCAATACACTGGTGTCTACAAACTGAGTTGTGGTTGGTGCAGCAGTTACCTTGGGGAAACGAAACGACATGTCTCGGACCGCGTTCGTGAACACAAGGCAGATCTGAAACACGGTAGGACCAATACCTCTGCCGTTGCTGATCATTGTTTTAACGCTGTGGGCTCACACGAAATGGATTTTTCCAAGACGAAGGTACTCTGCAAACCAGAGATTTGTTCATGAAGCCATGCAGATATATAAACACAGACACAACTTCAACCGAGAAGATGGGTACATACTGAGCAATCATTGGAAGGACGTTATGAACCAGGTAAAAGTCTTAACTGACTGTGATGTTTTCATCCTACCTGCCTATGTCAGCTGTTATTTCCGACTCTCTGCGGCTCTCTCTCTCTCTGTGCCTCTCTCTTAGATCTCTCCCTCAGTGACTCAAGTGTTGCTGCAGAGTCCCACTTTATACTTCCCGCCCTTCCCCCCCCCCCCCTCTATCCCCCCCCCCTTCTCTCTCCTCCCTACAGCCGATCTCTCCCCCAGTGACTCGAGTACTGCTGCAGAGTCAGAGTCCCACTTTCTGCCCTGCCGCCTCCCCCACCTACAGCCGATCTCTTGGATTGCACTCTCATGCTCACATGTCCTTTGGATTACACTCTCATAGCCACTGCTGTTGCGCGCATATGCGGGGATGATGCTCTTATGTGGCGACAGAAGCTCATTTCATGCTAATCTCCCTCCCTAGTCTCTCTCCCTAATCCTCCATTAACACAACTGACGTGCTTGCGTCCGGGGATGGAATTCCTTTCCAGCTCAGACCCTGCCTGCTTGCCCATCGCCACGAAAATAACCTCCTTGTTGTTGTAACAGCTCTCTCGCTGGCTCAGCAGTTCCACTGCTGGATTATTTGTGTTGTGATCGAAACGTCGTGATAGATTATTATTATTTTTTCGGCCTACGTGACTTTACCAAAAGAACCAATATACTAACTGCAGTGAACCTATTTGGTGGACCGAGGCCTTGGAGTGGGAGTGTGTTGATTCAAGAAACTAGCACTCTATTTTCAGTTGCCGCTCCCAGAGATTAAATCAAACTGGCGACCACAGCATTGCTCATCCAGCGTGCTAATCCACTACACCACTGTGGCAATCATCGCTACAACTAAAACTACACTTTTTACGTGTACCAGGTGTAAGGCCCTCCTGAGCTATGTAGTAGCTCTATTTTCAGAAGCTGCTATCACAAATGAAAGCAGCTCAACGAAGGTGGCTTATCACGCGAAAATGTATAGCCACCAAATACGCTCAACGCGTGTATCTAAATGTGGTGGGGAAAACCGGAGGACCCAGAGAAAAATCCACGCGGCCACGGGAATAGAGACACGAAAACTCCAAATATACAGCAGCAAGCGTCAAGGCCGGGATCGGACCCATGGCCTCCTGCATATATAGGGGCAATGCCACCGCCGTGTCCCTATTTTATATTTACTAATCTATATTTGTGTAATGACAGAGTGACACCTGCTGGCCTGAAAAGGGAAGCACGGGTACGGACACTGTTAAAGTAACAACCAATCAGTGAAGGAGGTGGTTCTGGGCCAAAGGTAATAGGTGGGGTTGGCCGAGATACTTGGGGAACCTGCTCGAAGGTTCCACGAGAGGGCGTGCCCGGAGGCGGGGCCTAGTCATGCCTGGGGGGATATAAGGGGGAGTAGACCCAGAGCTCGGGGCTTGTCCGTGGGGTCTGGGTCCTGGCCACGTCACTATGTGCCGTCATCTCTCTCCTCGTCCGGCCACGTGGAAGATCGCCTGTAGGGTCTCCATCACCGACATCGTCACGCCGCCAACCAGCGGCGTATCCAAGCGTGGGCAATGGGACCACGCCGGGTGATCAGCTGTGTGTAGTTGTAGAGACGTTAGCATCTAAGAATATATATCCGAGTGAAGAAGAACCAGTGTTGGCCCGTGTTGTGCCCGGTGTGATAAATAAGAAGTGCCCTATACACGATGTGTCGTGGAAGTCGCTCATTTCATCTGTATTAAATCCTATAATTCTTCACTATCTTCGTTATTTCTTTACCGAACTGCAGCCACTGTTACCTTTGAAAATCGAATTCATCGCAACAAATTAGGTATCTTAACTGTGATTTAGTTTACAAGCATCTTTGATTGGGTATCAACCAATTTGCTTACTCTGATTTTTGTAGCTTCACATTCACAGGATTTGTGCATGACGCAAAAACCATGAGCACATTCTTAAGAACTGCACTATGGTGCTGTTGTCTTCAGTCACTGTGAGGGCTGGTATATCTGAGTCCTCTAACGCTCCCTCATGAGGGCCCGAGCACTCACGTAAACCAAACCACCCCGCTCAGGAAAACCCCAAGTCGACAAAAGGGACGTTAGGCAAAAACATTACTAAGCTGCAGCGTTTACAAAGTTCTCTGGCTATGCATCGTGACGGGTACAGCAAGATCCAGCACCGTGTATCCTTCTGGTGCTCGCTTAGCTGCGTTGGCTTCCACTAGCCGAACAAATTCATTCTAAAGTCGCGCTAATTGCACATAACGCGCTTGCCACAACTGAACCACAATACCTCGCTGATCTTGTCAAGGAGTATAAACCATCACGCGAACGCCGCTCTTCCTGGCAGCAGTGGCGGCTTTTGCTAACCATCGAACAAAGATGGCCACTGCATTGCGCGTTTTCAGATGCGCTTCTGCGACCACCTAGAACGCTCTTCCTTCCGTTATTAGGAAGCCATTGGTGCTATGCACTTTTAAATCTAAATTAGAAAATAATTTATTTAAAACTGCTTTTTGTGTTTAGTTTGTTATTCTTTCCCTGACCTCCAATTCGCGCGGCTGGCTACATAAGGTGCGAAATAAGTTTGACACACTTACGTACATAGGTGTTGAACTCGAACAAGGTAAGTTGGATTACTGCCCGATTACATTCACTGTTCCACTCTCCAGCATACGGATAAGGTAGTGCCTTGACAATTGGGGGCATTGTGAACCTTGCAGTCCTTAATCAGTTGTATGCCAGGAGCTCTCCCACCACTGTGTCAACTAGAGGTTAACTCTGCGTCACGTCGTTTCACAATCTACAGTTCATAATGATAAAAAAATATTGTATCACTGAAGACATCTATGAAGGATGAATATGCACAGATTCTGCCTGGAGTTAAATTTCTCAAACCACACCCTCTCAAATATGGTAAGCAATAGAGTCTGCAGGCTTCTTAAATTTAGCACAATATACAATTTAACTCCCTGAAGAAACTGTCTTAAATACATGTGGGAATAGTTCAGCACATTTATAAATGTGGCCTTGCACTGGAATCCTAGCGAAATATGCGCGAGTATATAAACACCGTAGTTAAAAAGAAGCTCCTTCCTGAGATTGTTCAGGTAAGGCAAATTCCATAAACCAACTGTGCTAACTGGAATCGTACCCTAAACAAACATAAACATCGGACTGTCCTGAAAAGATATGCTTAAATATGAGCGCTGATTTGCATAATGAAAACAACATATCTTTCATACTCTTTGGTTCTATTCGGTAAAGTCACGTAGGTAAAAATAAAACAACAAAAATCACAACGTTTCGGCCACAACACAAGCGGCCTTCATCAGGTGAAGGGATCAGGCTGTCTCGAGGACAGCGCTGGAGTGAAACACAGCCAAGCTCAGACCGCGGACCTTTAAGCTGTGTGCGAGGAAACAAGGTGCCTTGACAAAGGAATTAGCAAAAAAATTAGCATTTTATTGGCCGACTTAGCATAGAGGTGGTGTATGTGCGGGTGGACTTGCCGTTTGGCGTGGGGGGAGAGGGAGTTTACCTATTGATGGTGTGAAAAGGGAATTTTTAAGAGCTGCGAAAGTTTGGGGTACCACTACTTGAAAAAATATACTGTACCATTGAAAATTAGTTTAATGTTTAGTTCGATTTAGAACATCTTTCCAATGGTTGCTTAATTTGAAACCATCTTCTCGGTTGAAATTG